TGCGAAGAATTTTATTAAAATTGTTAAAAATCCTATAATTAAATAAATTAAGATGAAGAATTTTATTGAATATTCTTAAGGAATTGTTTTAAAATTTTTTTAAATAACAGAATAATTCGAAGTGTTTTGTTATTTATGAAGATAATGGAATTTTTTAGAAGAATTTTATTAAAATTTTTGACAATAATTAAATTTATACCAAGATTTTTATTGTTTATAAAGATAATTGAATTTCTGACAAGAATCTTATTACAAATTTTAAAAATATTTGAATTTTTGCTCAGAACATTATTACATTTTTTTAAATAATTGCATTCTTCAAAGAATTTATTTTAAATTGTATTAAAAATAATTGAAATTAATGAAATTAAATTAATCAAATAATTGAATTTTATCGAGAAACTTTATTAAATTTTTTTTAATTGTTGAATTATTTTTTCTTGCGAAGAATTTTATTATGCGAAAAGAATTGAATTTTTTAAATAATTGAATTCTGTTTGGAAATTTTATGAAAATAGTAGATATGGAAAATTATGGAAATGCGAAAAGTTTTTAAAAATAATTAAATTTTACTTAGAATTTTATTAAAATTTTTGACAATATTGAATGTCTGTGTGGCATTTTATTAAATTTTTTTTGAAAATAATTGAATTCCTAAAAAGCATTTCATTATTTATGAAAATAATTTAATTCTTGCGAACGATTGTATTAGAATTTTTTAAAATAATTAAATTTCCAAGAAGAAATTTATTACTTTTAAAAATAATTAAATTCTTGTGATGACTATTGATGTTAGTTATGAAAATAATTGATTTTGCAAAGAATTTTATTATTTATGAAAAGAATTAAATTTACTCGAAGAATTATTTAAAAATTTTTGAAAATAATTGCAAAGAATTTTATTAGATATTTATAAAAATAATTATTTTTTCAAGAATAATTTAATTGAAATTTTTGAAAATAATTGAATTTATACAAAGAATTTTGTTATTTATTAAGATAATTGAATTTCTGACAAGAGTTTTATTAATAATTTTTAAAATAATTGAATATTTGTAATGAATTTTATTATTTATGAAATTAATTGAATCTTGCACAGAACTTTATTACATTTTTTAAAATAATTGCTTTCTTCGAAGAAATTATTCAAAAATTGTACTAAAAATAATAATTGAAATTAATTAAATTAAATTAATCAAATAATTAAATTTTTGGAAGAATTGTATTAAAATTTTTGAAAATAATTGAATTTATAAGAAGTGTTTTGCTATTTATGGAGTTAATTGAATTTTTTAGAAAAATCTTAATTTTGTTAAAATTTTAAAAAATAATTGAAGTTCTGCGAATAATTTTATGAGAATCTTTGAAAATAATTGGATTTCTGAAAAGAATTTTATTAAAATTCTTGACAGTAATTTTTTTATTTCAACTAATACAAATAGATCTAGAAGTAGTACGCAAATAGTAGCAAATCGTAAAAAAAGTAGCAAATAGTTTATGTAACTAAGTATTATTTTATTTCAAGGATATGGTTTATCAACTTTTGTCAGGGACGGAAATGTAGTTTGAAACTACACTCTTGAAGTATAAATAGAAAAAAAATGAAGACAACCCAACCTAGCTGCATATAACTTAGTTGAAAATGCCTTTGAGCATGAATTTCTTTGAGTCGGAGTTATTTTCTCCCTTGAGCTGCTCATGATTAAAGGAATATTCGCAGAGTAGAGGGAAGGGAAGGGAAGGGGGCTAGATAAAAGGGCTGATTGTTCTTGCGATGGTGATACTGGGAGTTTGCGACGAGTTCAATCGACCCACGCGGGATCAACAGTGCCCTCGGGACTGAAAGGTCATCCGCGACTTCCTGCTCTACCCATTGCCTATTACTCAATGCGATTTTCATGGTGTAGTTTCGCGTTTAGCACGAAAAGCTCCGGGTCACGACTTAGCGACGTCCTGAGATAGATATGGCAGACTCATTCCTCGTGCCCAACCGATTTGATCGATAGGTTCATTTTATTATGAATTATTATTTCCATTAGTCAACACTCTCCGTCAAAGATTTATTTCAATACTTTTGCATATAACATTCCACTTGTTCAGAATATAAATTACTTTAACGCTTTTCAATTTATTAACACGGACTCACAAACAGTGCTTTATAATTAAAATTATAAATTTGTCCAAATAAAATGAACACTTATTGGCATAACGTGTCGATTTCGAATACAAGTAAATAAAAGCATTTCGCAGGTATTAATTTTACCTACACTCGCCTACACTTAAAAAAGAACTCGAGGATGATTGAAATCTCTCATAAGTTTTTATCAAAATTGAAACTTAAGTACAACATTAAATTAATGATGTTTAATGATGGCTGTGAAATTTGTTTGGTATAAAGCTTTTGGTGTACAGAAGCGGATTAGCGAAAGGTTAAGGTCAGATTCTCTCTCTCTCTCTCTCTCTCTCTCTCTCTTTTTCCAAAGAGCGAGCGAGAGAGAGAGAGGGAGGGAGGGAGGGAGAAAGAAAGAGACTGGTTTAACATATATTATTATACTCATGCAATACGATTCGTTTAAGTAGGTCTTGTACTTGATCTCACATCGATTCGAATATAGAAAATAACGTTGATCACTAATGCTAAAGATATCTCAAGCTGATAAGCGAAACCAATCATAAATCAGACTTAGTGTTTCCGTTGCTAAAATCGACTTCAATAGAAACTGTGACATCAAAGAGATAACAAATTGTCCCCAATCAATGATGCTGAATAAAGAGATCTCTTTTAAGAAGTCAAAACAATTTTACATTCTATGTGCCTATCGGAACTTCAAATCTTTGTGTAAAGGGTCAGATTTTATCGCTGTCTCTCTGAATAAATTCCTCTCTATAAATATTATGTGTATCAGGCACTCGCACTCATCTACTAAAACCTACTATTTTTACTATACTTTATTTGCGTTATGCTACTATTTGGGTACTTTTTTTTAGATTTTAGCCACTAAAACCTAAAGGAGATTGGGGTATTGTAGGCCACACTTTTTTTAGCTCAATATCTTACATAAAATTTTTTTTCTTCAAATTGTGCAATTAAATCGCCAAAAACAAGCAACAAATACTTCCCCAAAAAAAGTGTCCCACGATTCCCCAAATGCTTCATTTTACAAAAAGCTTTGTATTATTTATTTATTTTAATTTGATGCAAAATTTCTTTTTGGAGTCAAAGTACCAATGCCACACAAATAATTAAAAAAATATTTTCCATAATTAATTCTTGAAAATCGTTGTAAAAACAATAAAAATATGAACGCCCAAAATAAATATTTGAATGCAATTTTTTAGGTGATTCTTATAGAAAATTCAATTATTTTTTAAAAATAACAACTTTTTCACAGAAATTCAAATCTTTTTAAACATTTTAATAAAATTCTAAGCAAGAATTTAATTATTTTCATAAATAATTAAATTCATCGTAAGATTTCAATTATTTTTAATACAATTTTACAGGAATGGCACAAAAAAGGAATTATTCTTAAAATTTTAATTTCAATTTCTTGAAAAAATCAATTATTTAAAAAAATGTTTTTTTTAAAATTCTTTGGAAGAATTCAATTATTTACAAAAATATTAGAATTTTTTTTACAGGAATTCAATTATTTTCAAATATTTTAATAAAATTGTTCGAAAGAAATCAATTATTTTATGTAAATACAATTTGAATGAAATTTTTATGAAATAATTCAATTATTCTTTTACATTTTAATGAAATTATTCTCAAGAATTCAATTATTTACATAAATAATTCTTCGAAAAAATTCAATTATGTAGATAAATAATAAAATTAGCCCTTAAAATTCAATTATTTCGAGGCATTTTATTAAAATTCTTTTCAAAATCAATTATTTTCATAACTAACATCAATATTTATCATAAGAATTAAATTATTTTTAAAAGTAATAAATTTCTTCTTGGAAATTCAATTATTTTAAAAAATTCTAAAACAATCGTTCACAAGAATTCAATTATTTTCATAAATAATAAAATGCTTTTTAGGAATTCAATTATTTTCAAAAAAATTTAATAAAATGCCACACAGACATTCAATTATTGTCAAAAATTTTAATAAAATTCTTGGCAAAATTTCAAAAATTTTTCAAAAATCTCCTCAATTCTTTTCGCATATATAGCAAAATTCTTCGCAAGAATTCAACAATTAAAAAAAATTAATAAAGTTCCTCGCTAGAATTCAATTATTTGATTAATTTAATTTATATAATTTAAATTATTTTTAATAAAATATTATATAAAATATATATTATTATATAAAATATATATTATATAAAATATTTAATGATATTAATTTAATGAGTTTCAATTATTATTTTTAATTCAATTTTAAATGAATTTCTGAAAAAATGGAAGAATTCTTAAAAATTTCATTACAATTCCTCAAAAGAAATCAATTATTTAAAAAAATGTTAATATAATATTTTTATCAAAATTTACTAATTATTTTCAATACATTTTAAATTAAATTTCTTGAAGGAGTTTAATTCTTTTCAAAAATTGTAATTTGGAATTCTTCGTACGAATTTAAATATTTTTCAAAACAGTTGAATTTGTATTTTTACTAATTTTTTTTTTTTATTATGTTTGTCTATTATTTTCATAATATTTAATTTAATTATTTAATTGATTTAAGTGAATTTAAATTATTTTTAATATGAAAAATGTAATTATTCTTGAAAATTTTATGAAAATTCTTGGAAAAAATTCAATGCTTTAAAAAATTATTTGTAAAAATCTTCGTAAGAATTGAATTATTAAAATTAGTCGAAAGAAATGAATTATTTAAAATTTTTGATGGTGTATTGATATATTTATGCTTATATTTTTTGTGTTTATAGTTGTTGGTTGATATTTATAGAAAACAAATAAAGCACAAAAGGGGAAACAATGCTTAAAATTTACGCTTTTCGTGTATATAATAAATTGAGACTTACCACAATGGTTAAGGTGATATCCGTGTGTTGCACTCCATCGTCAGCACGAGCCCGAAGAATATATTTATCTTTTGTCTCTCGGTCGAGCGCTTCCGCCAAACGAAGTTGACCAGTCGTTGGATCGAGTTTAAAGGGACTGTCGACTTTGTTTTGCAGTAAATTGTTATTTTCTACATTATCGGTTTTTCTATTTGGTACCAGAGTGTAGGTGAGGGTGCCAATTGTGTCGGGGTCGTGCGCTTTCAATACCGTGACAATTGTATTTGGCGGTGCTTCTTCGGAAACTTCGAATCTCCAAGGCTCTGCTCCCCAGGTGGGCGCCACATCGTTCTTGTCCAGTACTGTCACACGCACCTGCGAAAAACAAAATTAAACCCAATTAAACTTCTGCCAAACCCAAATACCAAGATTTACCAAACTACAAAAATCGTAAAACAAAGACAAAACTCAAATCGTAAAACAATGTCAAAACTCAAATCGTAAAACAATGTCAAAACCAAATCGTAAAACAAAGTCGAAACTAAAATCGTAAAGCAAAGTCGAAACCAAATCGTAAACAATTTTCAACAATATTTTTAAAAAGTTCCTAAAGTCCGAGATCCGCAGTCTAAAACTTGTATCAGGCTAAGCGTTGTTAAGATATTTTTAATCTATAAAATCGTTGACAATTTATTTCGTAACACGTGTATATAGTTAACTTCTGAATTTTTTACATACAAGATCGATGAAGAAAAAAAATCTCCCGACGTTATATCATTGAAAAAAAAATATAATAAAAAAAACATGGAGAATTTAGAACGAAAAGATTAAAGATTGATCGAGGAACCAAGAAAAGACGGACGAGGATGTCAAGCTTATATGTAGGTATCCAACTTTTATCGCGCCAAAAGATCGATGAAATATTGTTATAACATTCGTTATGCTATTTCAGTCATTGGCTGTCACCGCAGGATTCAAAGAAACGAAACGGGAAAAATGCGAAATAGTTGTAAATCTCATCGCTATGTGGTCAGAGGGGTCTAAGAACCTGAAATAGTCGGACATTTTTCGTTTACAATATTCTTCTCCTCTGCGATCCAAAGCCAAGATTAGAAACTCTTTTCCTTGTTCATATTTTCAACCCCAAGTCGTATTTTAATCACGTTAACTATACGAACACTTGCCACGTTTAGTCTTATCATAATTGTTTCTCAGATAGAATTCAGTCTCTCAAGTTCTCTTTTTCAATTTTCACAGAAGAGACCGAAGAAACCTTTTCTTCGCTTCCTTTATTTATACAAAGAAATCCCATTAGAAAAAACTGGTATCTTTTCTTTATTTCCTTCCCAAAAGATATTGTTCACCATCAAGTTGGAAAAATGGGAAATTGTGGTGACATAAAGTATCGAATTTATGTATTTCCCCGTAATTTCTACTTTTTAGAGGTACAAACATAATTTAACTACAAGATGGGTTGCGACAAAAATTTTTTTTTTTCCTTGTTGTTTCCTGATTACCATGACAAAATTTTGACGTTTTTCCTGACCCTAAAGAGTATTCTGATTCACTCTAAAAATGATTAGATACTTAAAGACATTTTCTATCACATTTTTACAAATTTCTTCAAAAGTAAAATTATTCGAAAACATCAATAACATCTTTTTTCAATAAATTATTAATTATTATTATTTTTCTATAGGAATTAAAATTCTTCAAAAGATTCAAATTCAAACCTTTTTGAAATTCATTAACTAATAAAAATATTATAAAACAAGAAGATATCGATCACTCAATTTCTTCATGTTTTATAATAATTAAAGATGAACGAGTGATAAAATCGTTATTTTATGTTTTAAGAAAATTGTAACTGCAAATTCTTCAAAATTATTTTCATTATTTCAATTCAATTATTATTTTCTACAATTTTTAACTAAAATTCTTCTTTAAATAAATTTTTTTCAATAATTTAAAAAGAAATTAAAAACAATTAATTCTACAGAACTGTTAGTTAAAAGTATAAAAAATTCAGATTTTCAAAGATTATAATTTTAAACCTTTTCAAAATTCAATTATTTCTACAAATTCACGCTATAATGCTTGTAATATTCAATTATTATCTAAAATTTTAACAAAAATTCATTTTGAAATCAAGTTTTATTAGAAAATTTTAGGAAAATTCAATTATTTAAATACAATAAATAATTTATTTAATAATTAAATGTTTTTTAAAATTTAATTCTCGTAAAGAATTTTATCAACAGCTTTTTAAATATTTGACTTTTGTCGAAAAATTATTAATATAAAATTTTCAAGAATAATTCCATTTAATGAAGAATTCATTTAAAATTGTATTAAAAATAATTGAAATTGAATTAAATTAATTAAATTTTTGAAATAATTGAATTTATATCAGAAATTTTGTTATTTATGAAGATAATGGAATTTTTTAAAACAATTTTTTTGATATTTTTATAAAAATAATTTAAATTCTGCGAAGAATTTTATTAAAAGTTTTGAGAATAATTGACTTTCTCCGAAGAATTTTATTTTGTATGAAAAGATTTGAATTTTTTCGAAGATTGTATTTAAATTTTCGAAAATAATTGAATTTCTACTATGAATTTTGGTATTTATGCAGGTAAATAATTGAATTTTTGACAAGAATTTTATTAAAATTTTTAAAAATAATTGAATATCTGCAAAGAATTTTATAAAAATTTATGTTTAAATAATTGAATTCTTTTGATTAATTGTATGGAAATAGTAAATATTGAAAATAATTGAATTAATAAGAAGAAATTTATAAAAAAAACATTAATTGAAAATAATTGAATTTCGGAACAGAATTATATTATTTATAAAGATAATTGAAATTTTGACGAGAAATTAAAAAAATTTTTGAAAATAATTGAATTTTGGCAAAGAATTTTATTATTTTTTATTTATTTATTCAAAAGCATACGCCGGGCAAAAGCCCAATCGTAATTTGAAAATTGATATTAAATAATAATTTTATTTTTGAAAATAATTTTATTTATATCAGGAATTTTGTTATTTATGAAGATAATTGATTTTTTTAAAACAATTTTTTTGATATTTTTAAAAATAATTTAAATTTTGCGAAGAATTTTATTAAAAGTTTTGAGAATAATTGAAAGAATTGAATTTTTTTTTTTAAGATTGTACTTAAATTTTCGAAAATAATTGAATTTTTACTATGAATTTTGGTATTTATAAAGATAATTGAGTTTTTGACAAAAATATTATTAAAAGTTTTAAAAATAATTGAATATCATCAAAGTATTTTATAAAAATTTGTTTTTAAAGAATTAATAAGAAGAAATTTATAAAAATAAAATTATTTGAAAATAATTGAATTTCGGAACACAATTATATTATTTATAAAGGTAATTGAAATTTTGACGAGAAATTTAAACGAGTTTTGAAAATAATTGAATTTTGACAAAGAATTTTATTATACATACTTTTGAAATTAATTGAATTTCTGCAATCATTTCCCTGACTAATTCTACTTTCCCTGATTTTTCAATGAAATTCCTGACCTGTGGCAACCCTGATTATTAAATTTATATATTCCTCCGTAATTCCTATACTTTTTAGAAAGGTACAAACATAATTTAACTACAATTTATTTAATTTTCTTGAAGACAAAGAGTTTTTTCCCTTCGCTTGGTTTTAAAAAAAGATAATGTCAATTTCAATTATTCCGAAACTATTTCCTTTTCAATAAGAAAAGTTGATAACAGTTACATGAACTTGTCGCTTATAAGTGACCGCAGGAAAAACATTTTCAGGCAGTTAATTTATGTTAACGAAGAAGTGTATATATGTCTATATTATACACACTATCAGACAGTTCAACATGTTCCTTACAAGAAATTATTTCAAGGTTCCTCTCTTAACATATTTAGAAACTGTTATAATTATAAGCCGTTTTATTTATTGCTCTAGTGCAAATCTAATTTTTCATAGTGCTTCCACATTTCTCTCCTGACCTTTTCGAGAGGGTCATTCAAGAGCAATAAAACATGTCGAGAAGCACTATATAATTTTTTACAGTGAATATAATTATTTACACAAATATTTGTAGGAAATTAAATATTGAGAGGTATTGCGCATAGTTGTATTATTACATAAGTTTTAGGTTAGGAAATAAAATATTTAAAAATAGCATATTGTCTGGAAATTTTCGATTGTTTGAAAATATAAAGGTTTTTCGAGTCAAGACTATATAGACAATAAAAATGATTTAATATGTGATAAATTTTTTGCGGTATGACAATTTGTATGACAAGCTCAACCAATCTTTTTTTATGACAGGACACAAAACCAGTTATCCAACCGGTAGGAGCAATTTTTTTTCGCGTACTGAAGGAGCTGCTCCTTTAACGCTCATTACGATGATCATAGAAGAAATTAGTACTATTAGAAGAGTTTTTATCATCCGTTACGAGAAATTAATTCTTTACCGTTTAAAATTAAAAAAGGGACTACAAATTCAAAATATTTGGTCTTTATTTATAATTTGTATTTAAAAACTCTTATATTGAATAATGAAAAATATGTTCTGTTTTTATGAAAGAAGTATATAGGGGATTTATAGAAAGAAATATAAGATTGGTAGTTTTATATTGAATCCAGTTCGGCACAGCATGCTAAGAATTCGTTCGAAACGAAAGGAAAGAAGCCAACCTTCCCGTGTCTACCTTTTTCAGATATACCCTAGCGAAACATTCCAATACTTGCCCACGTAATCCTAATAGACAGGCTTATTTCAAAATGGCACACTTGAAAACTAATTTTCAAAATCGTTCTCATCAAAAATACTAAAAGCATTAATAGTATTTGCCTCATACCTTCCGTAACCGAAATTAGAACTACTTATAGCTTTAATATCATAAGAACGTGAATTAAAAGCAGAAAATGTAATGCTACTAAACAAGTTTTTAATACATTGTTTTTATTAATATCGACATTTTCCCAACACATAATTTTCTGATGTATTAATTTCAGAATGAAATCTGAAAAGGAGGATTCATCGACCTGGGTCGTTTCTAAGTTTATCGTATGAAGAAGATCAAACAACAGGTATAACCCACAAACTGTCAGAGAAAGTCCTACCATCTCGATTCACGATCCTCCTCACAGGCACTCACAGGCACTCACAGGTGGAACGTATAGTATGCACATTCTAAACCTGAAAAAGGAAGATGGCCGATCTTATTCATTCTGTCTGGTGCCTGCCTGATTTCCTATTCGAATTATCAAACCAATATAGTGACTGTGCCAGCCGCGCCTGACTAAAACTGGCACAAAAAAGAATCAAAACGACCACCGGGTTGGATAAAGATGGC